GGTGTGGGTGTGGGTGTGGGTGTGGGTGTGGGTGGGTGGTTGTGGGTGTGGGGTGTATAGCTAGGGGTATCAGTTAAGAACTAGAGATGCACCCATACACCCACACCCACACCCACACCCACACCCACACACCCACACCCTTTCAGACATTGGATTATCTTCAAGAGACCAATTTTTTATTATTGTACTCAATAAATTAATCGATTCATTGGACGAAATCTTTCATGATCGTTGAAAATGATTTGAGTGACATAATTGGCATGCCTCAGTCAACGACAAGAACTGACTGACTTTTTGATCGAGTCCTCTAAAGAAACCAAAAGAAAGAGAGAGAATTTGAACCAATCTGATCTTTGTCAACGTGACCAAATCCTGCATAAGAATGAAATGAGATTGAATTGAGGACTTACATCCAAAGTTGACGATGGGATCAGTCGATGCATCTGATAAAACTATTCTTCATAATGGAATATTATTCACTGGAAAATCTTCATTTTGTTTTATCATGAAGAGATATCATTGAAAGTGTCCAATCTGTATATGATGAGACTGAGCTTGATGACGATGCATGATAATTTTTTTAATGTCATATGGCGGTCTTCTATTACAAATCATCGATTTTTCAAAGCAAAATCAGTCGTTTGAAACAACTCTGTTGTTTTCAAATAAAGCTCTTCATAGACATCAAAATTATTCACAGGTCGTTCAATTGATATGTTGAATAAGCAATATTAAACTGTTTTCATATTTTTCATGCCGAACTAAACGAAAATATCAACCAGTACATGAAATGAGACACTTCGTGGAAGTTCTTCTCAAATCAATCTCTGGATTTTCGATACTATGACGGCACAATGCTGTGCAAAATGAAGAAAAGAGCCCACGCGAAATTGAATCACAGTTTTTGCATTGCTGTGTATCGAAGAACACGGCTCGAATAAGAGAATATTTTCAACTGTTCACTGCTGGATACAAACCTTGGATCAGCGACACGATAGATTCTTTCGTTGTAACAGTAAAGGAAAAAAAGACTTCACAGAAAAACAATTTTTTGACGTATCTAGAACTTCAAAAAATGACAATTACGTCGAACAATGATTTCTTTTGATAGCATTTTCTCCTATCAAAAATGTTGCAGCTGAAGATTTTTTTCATAGTTGGGTGTAGGTGGCGTGTGGCTGTGGCTGTGGCTGTGGATGCGATTTTCAGCGCCATCTTCTCCCTTTGACACTCGCTGACGTATACAAAATCTGCTGGCGCACACACCTATACAATTCTTGATTGCTATGGTTCGTTACTACGCCAATGTTGGAATAAAAAATAAGAACATTAAAGGTATATTTGCTTGATATAGAATTTAATGTAAAGAAAACTTTTATTGATATCGATAGAGTAATAAAAGTGATTTCCTCTGATTATCAATAAGTATTGTGGAGCTCACAATATTTTTGAAGAAAATAGTAAGTTTAAGTTTTATGTCGACGTTTTCCGGTTCGCTTCCCAACTATTATAGATCTTAGAACCTCTCTTCTCCAAAAAAAAAGCAAAAATATCTGTTCGAAATTCAGAAATAAATAAGACAGATCCTTACTGCAGCCATCGATTATCTTGAGAAACAACTATAGTCTACGACAGATTTTTCACTTTACGTTTTTTGTATTACTTTAATGAGACTGAACAATCTATGTGAATTCTGTATTTTATATTCAAAGGAATTGCTCTAAGAAGCTTTTTATTTATAACTCTCGAAGGTTTTTCTGATATTCATCATTACTTCTATGAATATGACTAATAATTGTGTAATTAATTAACATCACGAAATTCGGAGTAGTTTTTACTGATAGGCTCCATTTGTAAAGAAGAAATGGCAAACAAAGGCCATTTCAAGCGCACAGTGCTTCAACTATTTTAATGACCTTGTCTTTTATTTTATTGAGTCAACGAATGCAGTATGTTATGACAGACATGAGAGATCGCTTAGAAACATCTAAATATCACTGTTGGCTCTGGTTACACACATCACTGACATTTGAAAACGCTCTGCTGTCAAATCCATGTGTTATTGTATGTCATCCTTGCCACTCGGTGAATTCTCACTCAACATTTTTGTTGAGTCACCTGTGGAATATAGTGAAATCTATAACATGAGCGAGTTCCGAGATTTCAAGCTTGTTTTTGAGTCATTCGTGCCTCTTTCGATAGATTACGTTAAGATAAGATAAGAAAAAGTCTGAAAGGGCTCTTATCGATTGCATGCTATTGGCGGATTACGGTCGTTTCGCTGAAGCCTGTTTACTAACAGCCGAACACTCCGAAAAAATGTGTCGGTGTAGCAATGCAGTAAAGTATATTCACACCCACGACATTTTCGCCGAACTCACTATTTTTTATCCTAAAAAATACATGAAAAAACCAACGAATTTCGAAAGCTATCCTGTTAATTTGATCATGATATTAAAATGCTGAAAATAAAAGAAGCAGTTGCTTATTTCTGCTTTTATTTCTTAGAAATAGAAACCCAAGAAAACAGAAACATGCTACTCCATGAGTGTGGATGTATTTGTGAATGGGTTGGGAATGAGTAGACACACTCACAGACTTCTGCTCTCTATATCTTTATATCTTATCTTATCTGCAAAACTTTCCAACAAATATTTTTCCAACTTACTCGAAGGAAATTATATAGGCCGTCTTGCTGCACTGTGTTTAATAGCATCTGAAATCCTTTTTGTCGTCGAGTACAACTGATTACAAAGCAAAACATCAAATATGGCTTTATTGCAGAGAAACGAATTTGGCATAAAGGATATTGGTCGCAGCGTGACAGTGCCTAACAATGATGTAGCAAAATTGATGTACTATCTTAATTGTGTTTGTTTCTCAATAGATTGTAATGATGATCCAGATATACGTCGTCTAACTAATTATAGCAATTGGTCAAGTTTGTCAGTAGATGAACAAAAAAAATTGCTCGTTCTTTGCTATGCTCTCAGTCCAGATGTCTTCGAAAATAAAGTCTTCTTTCAAAGTGATGCATTGTGTCAAAATTCATCGAATAAATTCTACGAAATTAGTCAAGTTCGTCATCAAGTTCTTGCTGTGTCGTCCATTGTAGTTGCTGGTCGTGCTCGACAAGTGAACAAGATTATGACATACAAAATGTCATGGATGCGTTCATACTATCTTGACCCAATGCAAGGGTTGGCTCGACGTTTAGGTGAACAAGAAAGACAACGTCGTCGTGAATCGTCGCGTTGTGTTGTCTCGTAAACAAAACCTTTTATCTTCTTTTGCATCCTTATCAATCATGAATTTCATGTATATATTTTCTTTTTAAGAATCCATTGAAAACTATATTTTTATAACGACAGAAGCAGACTTCTTTTTCTGTTTTTCTTCAATTCATAGTTTATTGATGGAAAGAGGGAGTGGGTGTAGGTTGCTGTGGGTTCGATTGAACAGAATAACCACACACACCGTTTGAAGAAAATGTTTTACTCGATGTTTTCCTATGAACAGATATATAACTACACTTTGTAATATCAAAATATTTATTATACACATTCAAACAGAACTTCTAACTTATCGTTTGCTATTGAAAAAGAAATATTTTAACTAATTAGTTTTGAAACTTTCACTATCCAATACATGAAAATGAGCCTGTTTAAGTTGTTATATAGACAAAAGTCCATGTAGAAAAACAATTTAATTTATATGGCTTTCACTTTTACATCTTTTTTGATTTTACAATGAAAATTATTTTGAGATATCTGAAAAAAATTAGTTTTGATTGCAATATTTCATTGTTAGAAACATAATAAAAAGTTTGTTGCAAAATAATTATTATATCAAACTGAAATTCGATAAACCTTTTGCAGTCGACAAAAAAAAGACTATGAAGATCTTGAAATTATTCTTTCATGTGATTACTTTGAACATGTTTAAGTTTACTATCATATTCTATATAAACGAGACATATTTATTCAACAATGCTCTTCTATTTATAGAGGTTAACATCTATCATTTATCTTACATAAGTTATAGTCTTAAGAACGTTTCCAATAGGAACAGAAACAAATGATGATAGAGGATACATTCAAAAACAGATTAGACAAAATAACACTCTCAGAAAGTGTTCCAAGATTTCTTTTTTCCAACTACAGCTCAACTAATCAGTTTAGATTTCTATTCATGATTTACTGTATGCGAAACAAATCATGGCTAGATATCATCATCGACGAGCATGAAAGTTAAAATTCATTGTATTGAATTGTTCGACGAGTCTCGAATAATTTTGTATAAATATTCTTTAGATCTGTTGTTTCTCGAAATTCACTGAAATATTATTCTTATATTATATAGAATCATGATTACTAAATTTATTTTCATTGATATAGAATTCTTCCAATCAAAGGGCGGGGGGAGGGGACGAAATTTATAAATTAGTTCGAGACTTATTATTAGTCTTCAGACATTCATCAGTAAACTGTAGTTCCTAAATTAAATAAATTTTGGGTGTGGACGTGGGTGTCAGTGTAGATTCTCTTTTCAGTCACATGGGCACCTATACCCACTCACATACACACCTTTATAGCGGACTTCGGTGGCAATGCCCATATGATACTTGACAAAGAACAATATTCCAGCAATTTCAACAATTTTTCATGCTCACCATCTCCTTTTAATAAAAATTTCGTGTTGAGAAAACACTCTTTCGTCACAGTTGTCTATAAGACGAGCTTTTTTTTCGGAATTATCGAGAAAGAAATGGGATTTCTTTCAATTTGATGACAAAATTTGCACTGTAACCAATCGCTGATTGACATTAGCCGATAGACTCTTGGCCGAGCAATGAATTAGTGACGGTACTGCATTCATCGGTGCATGCATCAGACTATCACCATGAACGATGTAAAAGAGTAGCGTTATTGTCAAATGAAGAATCACTGCAACATCCTGCTCTTTGCCCAATTCCGGTTTGAGGTTTTCTAGAATTTCCAATGCCAAATTCCTAGTTTGATAATAAAAATGAAACGAAATGAAATTCCAATCTGTCAAAAAACTACTGACTTCGTGGCCTTTCTCTTTGGTCGTCTCAATAACAATTGAAGTAATTCATTAACGATCTCTCCAATTCGTATCAAGACAGTTTCAGCATTCTATATATGAGGAAAAAAGAAAGTTTGATGAGTACCATTTTTCTCACCTTCATTAATTACTTTGCCATTGAGTGCTTCACTGAGTTTTGTCAATTCAGTTCGATTTGGTTCAAACATTTTCTCAATAACCTTATTGCGTTCATACACGATCAAAATTGTTATATATTGTTATTTAAACAATATCGCAATGTTCTTACTTCATCACTCAATGCTCTCGTCTTACATTTTGTCATTATATTGTCAACTTTCAGAATAACAATGTTGCATATAACATTGCACATAGTGCGAATCAAGTGTCGATGCAAAGATTCGCCTGAAATATAAACAGAAGAACGTCTCTGAAAAACAATCAACTTAGTCGAAATTTAATTTCTAGTACACAAAATATTTTTCATATTTTCTCTCTTAGAAAAAAATAGATTCCAAAAAGAAAAATACTTATCTGACTGAAATCTATTGTTGATGGATATTCTGCAGACAAATGGTCGTACTGATCACAAGAAGAGCATTGAAATCGATTTCACTTTAGAAAAATTAGATGCTATCAATAGAGATCCTGTGCCAATAAGTCCTCTAGTTCATCAGGCAACTCTTTATGTACTGCATGAATTTGTGTTTTTACTTCATCTTGATTGGTACTCGTCCAGTGTTGTATCCAGCAGGAAGGTCGAATCGCCCATGACTTTGGATTCATTTCCACGGAATACATGCTTCTTTCACGAGGAGTTTACAGTGGCCATTGCAATGCTTCAATTTTGCTTCTCCGAAGCTTCTATTCACTACCTGACAGAAAAAACTCTGATTCAAAAATAATACTGGCCTCTTCAACAAGTGTTGTCGCCCCTTTATGCTTGCCATCACGACCAGTAGTTTTTCTTATATTGGTTCCTTTGGATACCACTACTGATGGAGAAAGTAGTGTGACATTGCCTTGAAATACGGCCGTATACATTTATGGTGTGCATACCACCAGCTGCTAGAAAGTCATCATGAACGCTTTTGATCATTGCAAAGTATTGCTTCAGAAAATGTTCTGAATTTTCTGAGAACAAGACTCAAAGATTTTGATGCATTCTGTATTCAAATTTTTATCCGTTTTTTCTTGTATTTTCTTGGAAATAACGAAGTTATTTGATATTAATTCGCCATCTGATGCTTTGATATCTTTCTATATCAACTTCGGTAGAACTGTTTGATAGCAATGTCATTATATCGGAATATTCATTCGCTAGTAAGTCATGTTCAATATTCACTTCAAGTTGTGGTACAAATCGAAATAGATTCACATAATATACGAGTTAGAGAGAGCAGTTTGCTAGGATCATAATAATATTTTAGTAGTAAGGGTATGGGTGTGGATATTAGTATTCATTAATCAATACCCGCACTCACCCATAAGTACGATAAAGATCAAGATAATCAAAACTTTCATAGATAAGTTCGTTGGATAAATCTTCAAAATGAGTCAAAGATGATCTGAAAAAGATGATAATTAAACAAAAAAAAAACAAAATCAAGTTGAAATATAGTGACCTTATTCATATAGATTGTTGTCACTGACATAAGAAATACAGAATATAAATAATACAAAAATAAAGTTTTATTAGTTTTATTTTGAAATTCTTTTCGTTTGTTGCCAGGTAGCATCATGATCAGCAGTATTATTTCATTTTCGTTTTGTTTGTTTCATATTAATTCATATAAACAACATATTCGTTTCTCACGTGTATACGTAACGCATAGAATAGCAAAACAAATACGTCGTCAAGAAGAAATAGAGACCATTTCAGTGCACAGTCTAGAGTACATTTAAAGTTCAGATGTAAAATGAAAATCGAAACGCGTCATGATAGGTTTCATTTCTATGTTAATAAACTCATCCTTATCTATTGGACTGGCCATACTAATTACACGTGCATCTATTTTTTGAAGAATATTAATTGATTTTCATACAAAATACATTTCAATTCTATTGATTTCAATAAAGTAATAAGAAGTGTTTTTGAAAACAAACTTATTTCCTTCGAATTGTGAGATCATATAAAAAAAGTATATTGGAATTTGGCGATATTTTAAGAAGATAAGAGACGAAGTCGATATTGTCAAGACACGTACGATAGTCGTAATATTGAATAATGAATATTTGACAGATATGCATTAATACGATTTTAGAATCTAAGATAGAATACAATGAGTCAATCATTGTATCACTAAGTCAGATTGAGTCAGTAAAAGCAGCAGTAGAAAAATTGTGCAAATTCTCATAGATCTTTTTAATTAGTAGATTGTTTGAATTGTCTTTTATTTGAAATAGCTATGGAGAAATTAAATATTGAAAAGATTGAAGACAAATCTAGTAAATGTGTTCAGAGACATCGAAAAATAAATTTCAGCAAATGGACGGATATATGTTTTTTTCTGCGTGAAATGCAACTAGCTCGGTTAACATCAGCTGATTAACCTTTTGAGGACGGTTTTTTTTTCTGTATATTTCATCATAAATCAATCAAGGGTGTGGGTGTGGATGTGAGTGAAGCGAAGATCCA